TGTCATGTACTCATGTGGCTTGATTTTATAGTTTTTACTTAAATTACTAGACACATGACCTTGATTTCTATTTTGTAGGATGGGGTTTTAAAGAACAAAAGCACATATGAAATCATGTCTCCAGAAGATATAGGACTTCACCGATCTAATGAGTCTGGACTTACACTTGGAAAACTTAGGTATGCTGAATTACAGTTGGTTCATATAATTATATGCTCCATGATTATTATTATTATTAGCTTCTAATTCTTTAATACGATCACTTCCCATTGATTCATTAATGATTTGCAAATATTATTATGCAGTGGTCGCCATGCTCTAAAAGCTAAACTTTTTGAGGTGAAGTTCAATGCTGGTCTTGTGAAATATTGTAAAAAAAATAATAATAAAAGGAAAAACGAGCAACTTTTATAGTTATGTATTAAACATCGATCTGTTATTTTCTCTCCAGCTTGGTTATAACTTTGAGGGAAGTGAACTTAATGATCTTTTTTGGCGCTTTAAATCCGTAGCTGAAATGAAAAAGGTAGTGAAAACTCTTTCTTTTGATGGTCTCAAATGTTTATTTAACCAAGGAAATAATGTTTTTTAACTACTCTTGAATGTGAGTTACATAATTAACCCTACTATTTGCCTTCTTTATCTCCCAGGTTATCACTGATGACGACCTAATAACATTGGTATCAAAATGAGGCATTGGTATTTACGCAGACACATAGTTATTCTTTAGGTAATGCACCATTTTATTCTTATGCATAGACTTATTTTTTTATTACTTAAAAGGTATAATTTGTATTGATATTTCAACATATCTTCTTGTAGGACCTATTCTATGACCTTATCACTGGAGTCTTACACATTTATGAAATATTATTATGAACAAAAGAAATGGTGTAAATTAATGGATGTAAAGTAACATGTCTTGGTTATGTTGATGATCAATGCATTGAAAACAAGGTTAGAGATTATTTTGTGCCATAAACATGAAGAACAATAAGATATAAGTCAAAATTTTGTAAACTGGTATACCATTAACTTTTAAAGGATGTAATTAAGAATTGGGCTTAGATTTGTTACTTAATAGCTATAAAATTTCGAAATTGTATATTTATGTAACATCTTGATGTCATTGGGTTCGTTTAAACTTGGGAAAATGCTTAAAAAGCTATTAAGTTAATTTATTCTTTTTTTATTGCAATCAGGTCATAGTAACTTCTGTTGTAAAAGTTGTACCATGTATTGGGTTTTAAACATCTTGATGTCATTAGGGATTGGTTATGTCCGAAGCAGTGATTGTTGTAACTAAAATTTCATATAAATAAATTTCCTTATTATTTAAAAAAAAACGCAAAATAAGTTTGATAAAGAGCAGATTGGTTGGAAAGGTAAATTGATATGAGTTCTTATCATCTTTCTAATTTAGGGTCTTGATTTGTTTTTGTTTAGAAAAATATTTTATTTGGGTTTTTAAACTTTATTTTTGTTTGGCGTTTTCCTGGTAATTGGATGAGTCATATTAATACATTTTAGGGCTCTTGTTCTTGGTCATCTTCTGAGAGATATTGATTATGTTGATTACTTTTTAGTTTCTATAAGACTATAACTTTGTATGAAGGACAAGATGGTAAATTTTACAATATTGTTTTCTCATGATCATAGCCTTACCAAACGCTACCATGTGGTATTTTGACTAGAAGAAGTCGAGTGATTGGCTGTTTTGAAAACATATTAAACACAAACTAATATAATAGTTACATAATAAGAAATCATAAGCATATACATACCTAGAATATAAAGTCTAGTATGAGTATGCTTTGATATCAATTGTTGGGTCCCAAACATGTATAAAATTAATAAAACGGTAAACCCTAATCAAAGGAAATATAGCAAATAAAAATTACGCCGATTCAAAATATGAAATAAAATCGTACTAATGGTTTGGTAACTGTGGAAATATGCCTTCCAAAATTGACAAGTTTTGCTTAGTTCAAGGGCTATATTGTCTTTTCAGTAATTCAGGTCTAATTTGGTTGTTTTGGGTCTAAAAAGGGCACCATGTCTAAAATGATTGTTTCAAGTCTAAAAATGGCACCAGGTCTAAAATAGGTGTCTTCAGGTCTAAAAAAGGGTTTGCTCCTGAAATGCAGATACTCCATTCTTGAAGGACCAAATTAGTCAAATTGGTCAAACCTCTTTGCCTTTTAACCTTTTATGAGAGAGAGAGAGAGTTTTGAAGACTTTTTCTTCTTATTTTCTTGAGCGACATTTTCTAGGGTTTTTCCCCTTTATCACCAAATCATTATAGCTCATTGTAATCTCTTTGATCAAGCTCTGTAAACACTGCAATATTTTAGTGGATTGGTTCTTGGCTTCCTCTGCTTGTGGTTTTTCCTGATTTGGGTTTTCCACGTAAATCTCAGTCTCTTTTGATTTACTTTTTGCTTGGTATTTTTCATTGCATGTGATTGATTGTGGTTTGATATCTTAGTCCTATTCCGCTTGAACTAAAATTGTTCTCGTGATTCGAATTTTTGGGTTGTTTGATGCATTAGGGTTTTTTCGTTTTAATGTGTCTTACCCTCTTTGTTTACAACAATTGGTATCAGAGCTTCCGGGTTTTAATATTAGTTTATTGGGATATTTTATCAAGTGATTGATTAGGACTGGCAAATATGTACCACGGAGAACCAACGAACATGTTACTAACCGAACCAATAAAATCGGTAGCCAAGTTGTTTGGTAGCCAATATATTTGGCTGGTAATACCATGCCAATTAAGTAGTCTTCGTATGGTAACGGTATAGAATTTTAAATACCACGGTTGTACCGT